CATGCCTTTGGAATACGATAACTTTCCATATTCACGAGTCTGCACCAGTACTTTATACAATGGGTGAAATACTGTACACAAAGATGGCTTCTACTCGTTTCACTGAGTACAATATTTGAAGATACACTTTTGCTAACAGGAAGATATCTTTGGAAATAATAACTTTGCATTTTTTCAATATCACCACTTATAGCTGCATTCTGAATCTCGTCAGCAATACCACTGTTAAAGAATCTCCTATTATTTCTGCGAAGAGTCGAACGTGTCTCTTTGCTTCAATGTATCTGTTAGGATTTTCATTTGATCTGCATTTACGGAACATATTAAGCCAGTAAGAAGTACATTTTTTTAGAACTTTCGCATTCTTCATCAAACCATTTAGGTTGAATATTCTTTAATTTCGGGATCTGAACATCATGACATTGAAAGTGACTTTCCACAGAGTGGAGAAACTCAACAAGTTTCTCGATGGCACATTGATATCAGAATAGACTAGATCAAGAAACTCACCAAATATACAACTAGCTGTACTAGACGCTACAGACTCATTGAACTGGCCTAAACCACCATTATTCCACCTGAACTTTACGAGTTTTTTCACACTCAACATGACGATCACTGACTACTTGAGAGTTAACCTCACAATTCTCGACGCATACCTGTAAAATGCACGATAGAGGCAGGTGGTCAGACTCTGACCACGAGTGGGCAAACATATCTTTAATCAAGTAAAAGCAACTGGTCTACGCCAATATAAAATAAGCAAGGCTTGAACCATTGTGTGTAATACACGTAATAGACAGTTTCGACGCCTTTTTTTCCTACCGTTAACTATATGTATACCCCATACCTTGCATACTTCTAGTGGAGCCAGGCTTTATATATTAACTGTAGTGTCTTGCGTTGCTCAAATAATCATAGTCTGAGCCCACCCTAGAATTGAAATCACCTAGAAGTATTATAGGAATATTATCACTGTAATCTGCTCTAATAGCAGCTATTTTTTAATCAAGCTCATCCTTGCCATAAGAATCTGGGTCAACATAAAGTGGGGATCCTTCTAGTAGTATTTCAATTAAAGGAATCCAATAATGAAATTACTCTTAAGGTGAAAAAAACCCGTTATTCTCCCAGTTGAGATATATTCTTTGGAAAACCTTCGCAAACACTTTTCGAATATAAACAGCCAAGCCCCCGGGGTAACGACCATAGTTCCGTAACCGTTTTGCAGGTGATATATGACAATTAAATTCTGTAAAGAGATCATAAAGCATAGTGGAATCGCTTTGCATCGTTTCTAAGAGAACAAAAATGTCAAACTGTGCACATAAATCCATAAATGAATTTCCATGCACATATGTTCAAGTTCTTGAAGGAATCAGTTCCCGAGTCTTGAGGTGTAGATCTTGTGTCCAGCTCAGGGTGTAGGTCACGGCCAAGCTCCTAGGCTGAAGCAGACGCCCCCTGGGTGTCCCTGACGCCGCTTCCTCAGGATGCAGAAGGCGTCCCTCCATGGGCCCCCTTGAGAACTGCGCGGCGTTGACTCCCGTCGGGCGTCAGTAAATCATGTACTGATCTTTCTGATAGTGCCATTATCATATACACATAGACACCGTCATCAATGATTAGCTTATCATACGTGAGAATTGAATGGAATTAAAATCGATCTTGTATTCCTAACTCTCTCTGTATTACTAGCTACACGTAATTGTTCATTACCTTTCAGTTTCTGTTTGGCAAGATCAGTCACGCTTACCTTATCCTTGTAGGATAGGAACTTCACAATGATAGGTTTACGGGTTCATTTGCTTTTAAGTCTGTGAGCTCTTTCGATGTCGATGTTGTCGGCGTTGTCCATACTGAGGTTGTCGTGTAGGAAGTCTCTCACAAGGCGTTCAGTATCTGCCCACTTCTATTCTACAATGCCTTCCACTCCGTGAATGACTGTGGGCTTCCCCTTTGTCCACTGCATCCTGGAGTCTGGATAGTCTCTCTTTTAACTCTGCGTTTTCGGTCTTTATTTTCGTAAATTCGTCTGTTATATCCTTTCACGTCGTGTCAACTTATTGTTCAGCTTGCTTATGTCAGACCTGATCAGTTGAAGGACACTAGTGTTTCCTTCATCACAGATGTCAGACTCACCATGGTCAGAGTTGCCCTCACCATTGAACGCTAATGTAGACTTCTTGTCTTAGACATTTCCAAAAGGCGGTGGACGAAAGGAACAGACGCGCGCTGTATTCAAAACGTCCTCCATATTATTCTCGTCATTGAAAGTTGTTCATTGGCCATACACACCGATCAGATTTCGAGTTGTAACGATCGCAGAGGTATTTCCCACTCAAGTGAACTTCAACTGTCTGATTAAAAATCTTCCTCGAATGTAAAGTTTTGTCAATACTTGCCGTGCGTTGATTCGACTGGAACAGAAACATCAAATGCGTCCACGCCACGTGAGTCTCCCAATGCTGCACGTGAAATTGACAGTTTCACGCTTGACTTGGGAATGGCAGCTATAACTTTCAATATATAGTAGTAAATTCTACTTCAATCTGACAAATATTACTTCCAATATACTCACACAGGTATGGGAATACTATTCAACTCTCAGATTACAAATAATGCTGGGGTTTTTTTATCCGTTTTGTCACCTTTTGTCAGCACGACGTAAACAAGTCCGATCACACCTGATGCTCGCGCACTTTAGTTGTTTTTTAAAGCCCGGGCTCGGCCAGCCCGAACAGAGACGGCAACGGCAAAATTGTCTTATATATATATACTATCCCCAAAAAGAAACGCATAGGCGTTTTGTATTTTTAAGAACCTATTAATTGCCAATTGTGTCCAAACAATCGTCAAAATATGTAACACAAGCGTTAATAGAATGATTTTACAAAATTGCACAAGTGAAAAATCGACTTTACCTGAAAATGCTGATTTTGATGAGATTTCTTACAATAATTAAATAGGCATCGCCACAACGCAACAGAAATCTCCTTCCAGCAAAGAGCATGCACTGTCTGGCTATAGATATCCAGATTACTTTCGGAAATTGGCATTCGTTTTGAAGAGGTTTCAAGGTCAAATCACTACGCTGCGAAACGCAATACCGCCATTGAAAGAATGTACACTGGAGATTACCAATCTTCTGTTGCCAGGCGTCTGAATGTTAGTCTGAGCGCGATGTCACTGCTTGCAGCGCGTTACAACCAAAAAGGTATAATAAATGACCGTCCCCGTACAGGCAGACATCGAGACACGACTGCAGCCCAAGATCGGTACATCCGGGTACTACATTTTTGTGATCTTACTGCCACGGGTGAGAGTACAGCAGCAAGGGTGCCTGGACTTCGGAAGATATCCGGTCAAACTGTACGGAACAGGTTGAGAGATTGGACTGAGAGCCCGGAGACCCGACGTCGGGACTATGCTACGTGGTCACCATGGCGCTCAACGTCTCCGTTATCTAAAATTATCCACTTGCTTGTATAGACCGTACCATCTTCTAAACTGATGTAAAAAGTCATGTACTAAAGTCTATTTGTGGACGAGTTAAACATGTTTGAAAATACAACATTTTCGCAACAGATTTCTGGGATATGCGTTTTATTTTTGGAATAGTATAACATTACACGTATACTTGTAAGCAAAGAGAACATGTCGTGCGTATTACGTAATCAAACGCTTGTTTAGACCAGTTCACTTCAGTTCACATCGTTGTTTATGTTGGATCACATGATATAATTTTTGATAAATGAAACAGGCATATTACAACTTGAAACATAAAGAGGACGATATCTGTATGATATGGTGACGCTAAAATGTTGAAATGCGTGTGATGGTACAAATTGTCACACCGTATAGTTGTATTTTAACCCATCCAAGAAATCAGTTTAGAGGAAAGGACAGCTTTCTAGACCAATTATTCTCGAACCACGGGAGAAAACATATTACTGTATAACATGTGAATGAAGTTCAATTATGTGTTATGATACGTTCATGAATTTCAATTATATATTTGCAAAATAAACAAAAAACAGCAAATGGAAGTATTTTCATTAACGCTCTCAATTTTACAAATAAAACCAAATGATTTAATGTTTTGGTCACAATAATTTCAATCAATTACAACCCCCAAAACATTAAAAATATTTTTAATATCGCTCTAAATTAGTCGAATTTAGTCAAATTGAGTTGCATTTTGAGTTGCATTTTGGATCATGATACTCATAAACACACTTTCATTCATTCACAATCTCCAAAACATTTAGAAAAAACATGTATTATGAGCAAAAGCTAACCTAACTAATGTAGGTTATAATGAACGAATCTAGACGAACTAAATTTTTAATGCATGTCATTGGCTTATTGGCATCTATAAATCATACTAGTCGATTATTGACCAGGTGTACCTTCATGTGTCCGTGACTTTATTTTTGATGCAAAGTTGTTCAAAAGAGTCGCTTATTTTGCGAAAAGGTTTGTCGAGCCTGGTACTATGTAAATTTAGGCTATTCAGTGAATTGTAGAATATGTGTTCGTTTGTTTCGTATTTAAATGTGTCAAAATCACTAACATCTGAAGAGTCCATGCGTTAGCAAAATTACTTTAGTCCCCTCGGTCTCTAGTATGGCGTGAAGCCTATTTCTGGTGTCCCCCGCCGTGATATTGCTATAACATTGCTAAAAGCGGCGTAAAAACATACTCACTCACTCACTCACTCTAGTTTGGAGATCTACCTTCATGTTTTTGTGATCTATAGCCCGTTTAAATATTGTGTTGTTGTGCATAGAAATATGGTTATGGTATATGGTTACATGCTCGTTTTAAATGTACATGTACATCCGTGATAGCATAGTTATCTTAATGTCCTTTGTTGACAGGTATTCATATCGTCTAAGCTGTTTTTTCTATCAATATGCAATTCTTCTAGTCACGATATGGCTGAAATACCGCCGATATGACTTTATATTGTCACCGACTCCAGATATTATACTTACCATGTTTGAGCTTTCTGAAAAATTACAAAATACAAGATGACTTGGCACGTGGACTTGATAGAAACACACATACGTAATACACATAATCAACATATATGACGTCTTATAATATCATAAAATGAATGATGGTTGTCAAACTTGATTGAATTGCAAGTTACCAAATAGATGTCTTATAGACAAGGATCCGGGATAGAATATATCTTTAGCAACCCTTGCTCGTTAGACTTGACTGACGGTGAAGTGTTCGGCTTTAAACTTTAGATATTGTCAAGATTGTAAACAATAAAAGACCCAAACCAAGTTGTTATGAAAATGACAAGGTTCAGAACCATATATCCATTTAAAATGATTGAATCTTTTCAAAGAACACTGTTGAAACTATTCTGTCAATATAGTTACAAAATATGCATTCTGTTAACCAATAAAGATGAAGAAACGCTTACACAGTTACCGATAAAAAAATACTGATACATGCACCTTTGATAATATGTTTTCATGTATTGTTAATGTATTAATAGAAGTATTACAAAGTAAACACTTCAAATCCCTTTCCAAATCCTGATTAAGGCACAGACGATTGTACAATTCCGACTATACAGTATATTATGAACATGTGATCATTAATCATTTTCAAGAAATAATGATTCCCGACGTGTATACACAGGCTGAGCGGTTCTAGATACATATAGTAAATACAGCACACCAATGTTTGTGTGCCATGAAGTAGTTATAGTGAAGAGAGTTGGATAAGAGTTCGTTATTGACATCAGTAGGCCTGAAACGGGGTTTTTTCCTCCTATTCGTTTGGTTATTTCTTTGATGTTTAACGCCACACTGAACAATAATCCAGCTACATGAAAGCATTTTGCAGTACAATTTGTCTTGATAGGACGTTAATATACTGCAATACGAAAGCGTTGGCTGTTCCATATTTTCTTTTCGGTACTATATATCTGATGTCAGATATGTGCATGCAAATCATTTGCCCACAAAAATCTGGTTTGTAAAAAATCGCACATAGTCGGATGTATCATAATTATGAAATATGATTATGTCGTGTACATTCGCTTCAAATATATTTCCAGATATAATTGATATATTTCTTGCAATTTATAGCAAATAACAGTGGCATAAATAATTATCATGTTAACTGGAAACTAAAATTACAATTCGAATTGAATATGAACTTACCTGAAGATGTATTTGCGTACGTTGCTTACGAGGACGAGGACGAGGACGACGACGACGACGGAGACGACGACGAAGACGACGATGTCGATGATGCTCTCATACTTGTCTGTATGTGTTTCTTCTGGCGGTTCTTTTGTCGGTGTTTCGGTTTTTGTCTCTAGGTGGAAAAAGGATCACATGAAGAGAGAGAAACATCATGATGTGGCATCTGAATAGCTGTGTATGTTGAATTCTCTTCATTGAAATACAAGATACAGTAAGTTTACATAAGGGATAGACGGCGCTTTGAACTTTTCACCTCATGTACTCCTGTGCCCTACTAAAAGGAGAATGGTTTAGTGAGGTAAACACGGTGACATGTTTTACGGAATTACGTGTGGAATAAATGTGCAGGTGTATTATGTGAAAATCGCAGTGCAAGTATGGTGAAACGCTAAGGTGTATGTACCAAGCGACTGTCAGAAATATATAAACAACAATAAATCCAGCTTTGTGTCGCTGTGATATTGAAGATGATATCGTTGTATATTTAAAATGATAACGATGTGTTCTAAAATGGCTTCGATGTCTGATTTAAATCAAACAAAGTTCCTGGTTTTACTTATGACTGTTAGTCCTCAGTTACCTTTCATTTTTTGTAAAAGAAACCAACTTCGGTTGTTAGTTCCACGTATATGAACACCCACTCCTCCGGCTATTTATGTATGCCTCCTCAAAAACGAGTCCCTTTGTTTGTCTGTTGTTTAACGCCAAACTAGCAATATTCAAGCTATTTGTTGGCGGTGTGTAAATAATCGAGTCTTTACCAGACAATACAGTGATCAACAGCATGAGCATCGATCTACGCAGTTGAGAATACGATGTCATTTCTCAACCAAGTCAGCGAGCTTGACCACCCATCCCGTTAGTCGCCTCTTACGTCAAACATGGGATGCTGAAGACCAATTCTGACCCGGATCTTCGCGGTCCAACAACGATTCCCTACTCATTACATACATTCTGACATGGCTGCTTGACTTATTTCTATCATATAGGTATATTTCATTGAGATTTTATGCATACAGATAAACCATCAAAAATCCTCTTCTCACTTTATAAAAGGCTAGTACATATTGCATTGACATATTTTGTAATACAAAATTAAAGAGCTGTAGATAAAAACAACCCGTAAAACAGTTGCATTCATACAGACAAATATTTTTTCAGTATAACGCATTACAGCAACAGCCCCTGCACATTTTTCCATATGCAGCAACAGATCGTGATAATACGGTTTAATAGTTCCTAACGTGATAACTTGGTTGTTTCCGATTTCAGTGGTGTCAATGAACCTATGACTATATAGCTTAGGTATTATACCTATATATTCTTCGCACAGATCTCCTCTGTAGTTTTCTGTGCAACCTTTTGAGCATTGCCCAGTTTGTTGAACACATACACGATCCATGCAATTCTTGCTACAAGGGAAATTGCATTGGCTGCCCCACAGTCCAGAGATACAACCGAGTGAGCAGGCTCCAGTGTCTATATCGCAATAACTTTGATTGTTGACATGGGCGCGACAGTTGACATTGCACTGTTTATCACAATGCTCTCCATAAAACCCCGGATCACAAGGGGTTATGCAAAATATTCCTGGTACTGCAACACATGAATTATTCAGTTTCAAGCAAATCAACAGTCACAATTAAAATAATAAACGTCAAATACAAGAATAACCAGTCTTGCCTATGTTTTCAGTGTTCATTGGGAATACAAAGACAAATCTGAATGGATCTCTGGAAATCAGTGTCATTGGCATCATTATAATGCATTGCTACATGCCTAAGTCAGTGTGTGCACAGCTACTTTTCATTGTACTTATTCCTATTTTGATACATGTAAAAATAAGTTGATGGGGTGAATGGGTATAGGATATTGCAAATAGATAGGGTATTGAAGGGAATCTGAAATTCTTTATTACTGTGCATTTAATGATGCCTTGTAAAAGTGTCAATCTTATGCGTGCACAATTACCTCAAGCTGTATTTATTTCTGTCCCATGTATGAATACGTTGTTAGTACACTAAAATATGACTTGGTATAACCACTCGAACGTAAATAGTAGAATTTAAAACTGTAGTATGAAAAATAGCAGTAGATCATACAAAGGCCCAAGTGATGTGAACGTTCCTTCCGTTGGTAATTCAAACCATTGAGATTGAGTGAAGTAGAATCTTACATTAGGTTAGCAGAGTTAGTAGCAGTTGCACTGGGATAACGATTATGACTCTTTCTGTGATCTGGAGCATCAATGTAAAACATTCTGCAAAAGTTTAGCCTTTTCCTTTCTATCTTATTATTCTCCTTTGATAATACATATAGCAAGTTCTCGACAACACTACTTTCATATATCTAACATGGCTCCATCGACGACCGGCGGAAACAATGACATACTCACCAAATACCAGGACATATATGTAGACAAGGGCCATTTCTGTAGTGTTGGTTTACCTTTGCTCTCCTCTCTAGAAAAGATAGAACATACGTGAGACTACAAGTTTTTTGGACTAACATAGAACTCATCACAGAATTCAGTACAGAAATGATTTAATTATCCACATGGAGAATTGTTTGGAAAAGGATATTACGTTACATTTCAACGTATTCAATTATTCATATTTGTACATTTGTGTGACCTTTTCGTGATTTTATGAAATTGAATTATTGTATTCGCAAGATCAAAAGCCCAATTTCGACTCAATGGTTGACAATGAAATGTAGAAAAGACCTCTGTTCACGATCCTGTCTGTCTGTCTGTCTAAAAGTTTATTCTTATCAAAGGCATTTATTCTATCACGCTTAGATTCGTTTCACTGACTACACCTGCACATCTTTTGACGGAAAATGCAATATACACGAGACAGTGACTTCAAAGGAGAACGAAAATATATATTTACACGATGTCTTGTCTGCCTTAATAACACTACACCTCTCTTAATAGCAGAATCAAACTGTTTTTGGTTTTTTTGGGGTTTGTTTTTGTGGTCATATCAATGTATACAGTCAAACATATTGTTATCAGTAAGGACTACTATGGGGATTTCCAGTACAGGCTGAGTCACAACGACCTTTCATCTGACAAATCGGAACGCCTCTTGCAAATTCGCGAAGCTCAAATATACAATTTTATTCCAAATCAGCCTTGTGGGTAATTGTTGATCGTGTTCTTAAAACAACGGATTGGAAACAAACTTTCCACAGCCCCTGGGAAGTATATGAACTTCCATACAATCAAATCCATCTATACGACATTTTGTTTTCAAATTTTGAATTGAGACTGTTATCAAAATAACTTTTCAATCCTATACTCGAATGTTGTTTTCAGATCTTCATGTTGCTGTAACCAGCTTTTTATGAAATTGTGAATACAATTAACTCTTGCATGGGCTATAGACTAACATATAGTCTCTGAACTGAACATATTTTCCAGCAAAAAGGTCCTTATGATAATCATTAAATATAATGTAATGGAGGCCAGAGACTATCTTCATTTTCAGAAACTCTAGTAATCTAAACCTGCCACTTATTCAAGACTTGCATAAGCCTTCTTGGATATATTTGTTTCAGGGTCTGTATAGCAGACTATGTGGACGTTACTTCTGCATAACTGAGCTTTCATAATAACGCCAAAAAGATACCTCAATATAGGTTTCCCACCTGTTGAAGAATGACGTGTATTGTTTACTTCTGATTTAATGAATGAACGAAATTGGAAGGTAAATTATTTGTAACCGTGACTAAGAACACTGACTATTGCATGAATTTCTTGCCAATCAATCCATTTGACGTCTATAATATACCTTTCAATTAACTGTAGTACAGTCGAATCCTAATGTCTCGAACTCGGTTGAGACGAATTCACGGTTGTGTCGAACTCGTCCCTCGGTCCCTGCCGATTTCCTTATATATTTATCATTATGTTTATACTGGCGGATGTGTCGAACATTCGGATAAGTCAAACTGTACCCTTGGTCTCGACGAGTTCGACACAGTGGGGTTTGACTGTAAATGTAACATATGTCATATTTGGGATTACACTTTCTCAGTAAAGTACAGATTCTAGTACTTTTGTTGGGTTGAGTACCATCCAGGATTCAAACCCACTCCCTCAGAGTCAGGCACCTAATCGCCAGCACACAAAGTCAGCCGCCTATCCCGCTCAGCCACCGCGACTTCCACAAATATAACATATGTTACATTTGACCACTTTCTAAATGGCATGGTGTATTCACAACTTTAGTAAATACAAAACACATGGTCTCACTATTTTTCTTTTTTTCCATTGAAGGTGGATAATCACTTGATGGACATTCGCTGTTTGATGATTATTGAACGAAAGCAAACTATCTATATCTCTGAAGTTTGAATTAATAATCTCCCCAACTGATGTCCCCTATTTTTTATCAGATGCCATCTGGAAGTCGAACATTTACACTTTTTTGGTTCTTTCGGTAATCTTGACGGGACCAAAATCCGGATTGAACACCATTGAAATAAATGTAGCAGATTTAGGCGCTTACTTCTTCTGAAGATGCACATACGAAACATACGGCCATTTTCAATTCAGTTCTTTATTATAGTCTTTGTACGAGTTAGGCTATCCGCCCATAGCTACATAAGTTTCATTGTACATGGCAAAACATGGTGCGTACATTACAAGTTAAGAATTTTAACGTGTTAGATACATTGCATGATAAATAAAGCTAGCCTAACTATTGATAAGTTTACAATCTGATGATGACATGAGGAGTGTGAATTTAGCTTTACTTTGATTGGTACAATAGGTTTGAGATAAATGGCTCCAGCGGAGCTGTTTAAAAGTGACACACACGCGCGGAAAAATGGTCTTCATCTTCAATATAACCTTCATCGCATTGTAAACACGATCTATCATTTCTATCTATATATTATGATACCTTCCAGTTTCGTAACTGTGAAAAATATCTAAACTGAGCGAGTGATACTCTAACCTTCTTAAATACAATTCCCTGGTAAATGATAATTTGAACCCCGAAAACGTTGTCTGAGTCGACTTACAGTGGGTGGATGCACATTAAAGTGCCTGGCAATCATCACATCTGAAGCACCTTGGCTGACCATACCGATAACCTGATTCCTTTCGTCTTGTGTCAAATGTGGCATTTTCTCAAATTCCTTGTGCTTTTACAGGGCCTGGGTGCAGGTAATGCATGTGCACAACGTGTTTCATGAATGTGGTTGTGTTTACGAGAAATGTCAAAGGTTCAGTTTTAAGTATCAAAGTTCATGTGAGAGGAATACTCCGGGACTCGAACTCGAAATGGGCCAGAATAACAGCCTTTTATCCCTACATCCTCTGTATTGCAGGCAAAAATCTTCAATAGAACTTTTGTGAGTTTCAGGACAACAAATACCAATTGCGTTTTTAATGGCTTACAGTATATATTCACGTGTACATTGTGAATGTCCAAAATGACATCGTCTTAATATGACCTGTCTGGACTGACAGCCCAAGTAGGTGTAACAAATAGTTCTTATTGTATCTAATTTATTTGCACCTATATGGGTGCCTCACTTCTTTTGCATCATATCCCAGATGTAACCTCCAATAACTGGTTTATAATCAGAGTATGGGATGAGACGTGGTGTCACAGATTTGCGAAGTGCTGCAATAGGTACAGCATCAGCCATCGTGAAACCATTGACTCCAACATGGAACCAAGAAAAGACAGTGTCATACTGGCCAATTGCATCAGCATTAAATAATTCCATAATTTCAATTAAAAGTGAATGTTTACAAGACAAATGTTTTATGGCCTAAAGGCACTAAAGGGAGTCTGAAGAAATTATATAGTGTTTATTTTTGGAATGTTTATTGATATTTTTGGGAGCTGTTAATATGGCGTTTGCTTCGGCTGTTGCGGATGATTCTGCGTAAAAATAGAGCTGGTAATCGATAAGATATTGTTCTGGACCCAATGACATTGGCACAGGCAGCGACGCCACCATCCTTGCATCCATCTGTAAATATGGATTTGCACGTATTATATTTACTTCTTAATTGATTAAATTCTTGTTTATACTATGACTGATTGGATGTCCTACCTTAGACAAGTGAGTTTGTTCAAAATTGTCTCTGTTCACCCAGCAGGACAATGGGTACCCGTTGGAAAAACGTCATATGACTATAACCTTCTAGCGCCTAACAGGCAGCTTGGGTTATCCGGGGTAATAATGTGCTGTGCCTTGATTGTAAGCGCTACGAGCATACCTAGTGTGGAGTTTGGCGCTATATAAATGGACACATTATTATTATTATGTCGGACTTCTTAAATGTGCTCAATGTGAGTTCGACTTACTGCCTCACAAACTGCGAAGGAGGAGAAGCAAACAGACGGAAAAGAGATATACTTTCTAGTTCAATATTAGCGACAGAGGTAGAATAAGAGAAGCAAACGTTTTCAGTCAAGTCAATTTCAAACACGTTTTGGATTCAAACTGTTAATCATCAAAACGCCCTTAAATAAACACCTATCATAGAGGAGTTGCTAAGCAGAAATGTTCAAAGGAGAGGAAGTGCCGATTCCAATATAAAGACAGAGATGGTAGTACCTTACTAATAACAACCTGTGGTAATGATAAAGATCAAGGTGCCATTGTACAAAACAACCTTAGCGCTAAGATTACCTTATCTCCTTACGTTTTAACCTTAGGATTTTACTAAGGTTCACGTCCCGTTACACGAATCTACCTTAGGCTGAGGTAGCCTTAGTTAAGGTGAAAATTTAAGGTTGGTCAGACCCAGCCTTAGTATGGGTAAGGTTGACATTTCAAGTAATTTAAACATGGCTACATTCTTTTTGATATGTGAGGAAACTGGTCGAAGCGTTATTTGGTGTATGTTTTGAAGTGTTAAAATCGGATTACTCGGAGGGTTGAATCTCAAAAATAACATATTAGTGATCACTGATAGCTGGTTTTCATTACATCGCCAATGGCAATTCTGAAACGTCGCCGATAAAACCTATATGGTTGGATGTTTTGGAGAATACACGAACACGAACGCCGAAGTGAGGTTCACGCCATTTTGGATAATGTTTACAAAATTGCATTTCGCGAGATGCCTTTTACATCACGTATATTTCACGCTCAGTTGCAGCACCTACACAACTGAATTCCTCACACATTTTTAGAATCAAATAATAAATGGTCTTTGTCACTAAATCCAAGTGTCGGGATGAAATCAAACAAAAATATTGGATGTGAAAACAAATGATGTGCTTGTTGTAAATGTAACCAAAGAAACCTTCAGTATTTACATTGTGTATTAATTTTCTTAAATCTTCAGACCTTCATTTGTCTATTGGCTGGCATGCATTAACCTAATACGTCTAGAATATGCACGGGAAGAGTATCATAGCAAGTAATACAAAATTAAGATAGATACCATACAATGATTTGATAAATTCATAGTAAATTTCAAAGT